GGGTGTCCTCCGCGGTCCCCCCCGACCCCTGGGTGAGCCCGGCTGCTCCCCCCGCCCCGCTGCAGCGCCCCAAGCCCCGCCGGGACCCCGGGCTCCCCTCGCCGCTCCCGGGCAAACTGCCGCTCGCCGGTCGCCCCTGGGCAGCGCCGCGCCGCGGGTGGGACCGCGTTACTCAATCGTCCCCGTCGGTGCGAGAGGGTGGGGTGGCCCTCCGGCTGCGGAGGGCTCTGATGTCAAGACGAAAACAGGACCTCATTCTTTAAAGACACCCTGATTTTTAAGTAGCAGGCTCGGTGCCTGCGCCCCTCTGCACCAAATACTGCCCTGCAGAGGTGTGTGGTATCTTTTCTATGGGCCCCACCCCAGCAGAAAACGGGTCTCTGATAAAAGGACCGCTTTTCTGAGAAGAAGCGCTCGGGATGTGCTAGATCTGAGGCTATTCCCCGTTTAGACGGGAAAGAAAAAGCAACAAGAGATGAGACGTCCGCGTACGGGCGAGGACAGCTGAGGTGTGCGGTTCTTGCTCTCAAATTCAACTTCCTTAGAAAACTCTGCGCTCCGGCAAGCAGCAGCGGTTGCTGCAGAGCTGCTTATCTCCTCCTCTCAGCAGGGGTTAACAGCCCCTTGGGAAGGATCCTCATGCCCAGAGCCCACTGATGTCCCTCCGTGTACAGGTGGGGCGTGACAGCCAGCCCCCCTGGGGGGGTCCGGGGTTGAGAGGGTTGAGGACAGGATTGTGAAGGCAGTGGAGCGAGGCAGCGCAGCCGCCGGGGATCTGAGCACTGAGAAATGAAGAAGGGAAGTTGGTTAATTTGTATTAAAACCAACTGATAATTGGTAGGAGCCTGCCCAAGAGGTATCATGTGTTTTCAACAAAGGATGCCCAAAGATCTGTAACTTTCTTTGTAACTGAAGCTGATAAAAGCTCTCCTTCAACCTTTAGAGAGCTCTGCTGGTTTTGAAGTTAAGGTAATGTATTGGGCATAAAAATGCCTCGGTAAGTAATGCTTAAAAACAACGAAAGGTGAGAAGGCTCCTGGGGCTGAAATTGATAAAGGAACAAAAGAGGCTTCAGCCTGTGACTCAAAGAAACCTCAGGCGTGTTGTGGTTTAGTCTCTGGGTGTTCCCCTGCACGCCATGGCTGTGCATTGATTGTACCTTACTGCGGCTTTCTTCTGACCTCTCTCAGTAGGAAAAAACTGCTGTTTTTTGTAGCTGGGGGCAGGCTCATCTCGTGTCCTTCCCCTTCTTTCCCAATAAATAAACTGGTGTGGTGAGACACTGGTGCAAATGAGAGGAGAGTGGCAGGCAAGCAATGGGAGCATCGAGGAGAATGGAACAACTGAAATACAGGTTTCGGGGAACTGAGAGGAAGGAAAGTGAATTAAATCACAGTTTCCCAGTCATCTATGCCCTGTGGCATCAGCATTTGCTTTTGGTAATTTGGCTTATGGGAATGCCAGAGGTGCGTGCCATACCTGCAGCGTGTGCTCACCTCCTGTGCCGTGGGGAAGCGCTCCTGGTACCTGCAGCTGGGTTAGCTTGCCATCCAGCTGCTCGGCAGATGGTCATGGGCACACCGGCCCCCGAATAAGCACTCAGTCAGGGACATGGTCCATCACTGCATGGTATGTAAGGACCAGGTGAGGAAACATATACTCAGCTCTGAGCTAGTGGGTTAAACATGTGCCCTCAGAAAAGCTCTTGCCC